GACGGATGAGCAAAGGGTGTCGCTATACCAAGACCTCCTCAAAGTCAGTGTGAACGGCAAGCTTTCTCGCGACAAAGTTCGAACTGTGTGCGACACGTACGGCGTCCACCATTCGACGGGTTGGCGTATTTACAAGCGTGGTAAAGACACCAAGTCGTCGAATGGTGTGGCGGTGGTCACGTCGCGTTTGAAAGGCGCCACTGGCAGACGCCCCAAGTATGTGCCTGAAGACATCGAGCAGCGAATCAAGAGCGTGCCTCTGCACAAGCGACAAACGTACCGATCTCTGGCTGCGGCGACTGGCCTCTCTTTGTACGTCTTGTGGACCTTTGTCAAGAAGAAGTGGATGACAAGGCGATCAAGTTGGACAAGGCCCATCTCACAGCCGAGCAGAAGTTGGCCCGCCGCGACTTTTGTGCCCAATTTCGTTCAAATGCACCACATGGCCGTGATCATGACATGGCCAACGTGGTGCATTTGGACGAGAAATGGTTCTACCTGACAAAGCTTCGTCGCCGATTCCTCGTATGGCACGACGAGACAATTCTGCCGCGATACATCCAGTCCAAGGCGCATATCACCAAGGTGATGTTTCTGGTTGCCGTCGCGAGGCCCCGACCAGGATGGGACGGGAAGGTTGGTTGCTGGGAAATCGTGGAGCGAACGACGGCCGCCCGAAGCAGCGTAAACAGGCCGGCAGGAACAGAGGTGCTGCGGAGCGTCAATGTGACGCGCGATGTCTACCGCGATTTACTCGTAAACAAAGTTTTGCCAGCGATCAAGGAGAAATGGCCAACGGCGAATGAACCAGTGTACCTGCAACAAGACAACGCGCGCCCCCATATATCGCCTGAAGATGCTGCATTTGCTGCTGCTGCGTGTGTTGGTGGCTGGGACATTCGAATACTGAACCAGCCACCAAAGTCCCCAGATCTAAACGTTTTAGACCTGGGGTTTTTCAACTCTATTCAAGCCCTTCAACAGTCGCTAGAGTGCCAGACGATGGACGAGCTCATTGCCGATGTGAAGTCCGCGTTCGATTTGTTGGCGCCGTCGACACTGGAAAGGACATTCGCTACCTTGCGTCGTGTTATGAATATTATTATTGACTGCGGAGGTGACAATAGGTATAAGATTCCTCGCAGTAAAACGAGCTGTGAGGACGAGATGGCATTAGATATGATGTCCACGAGGCTTGAGGAAGAGGAAAGATTAGAAGAGGTTGCAG